TTGTTTAGCTTCTTCAGGATGAATGCCATTAATCTTTTGTCTTGACAGTATTTTTATTGATAAGTGAGGTTTCGTTAGTAATTATAATTTTTGATTTCTAGATATTAATGGAGAGTCAAAATCCTTGAAAGTTTTCTCAGTCGATTTGTCAGTTCTTGAAGATTCTTTGCTAATAAATCAATATCATTAGCAAATCTAAGATTGTTTATTCTTCTATTTTCTAAAGTTATTTCAATATAATCGTTTCAAATATCTGATTTAAATTATGGATGATCCAGAAATCGGTTAACTGTGTATTATTTTGATAAACATGCCAAGTAATTTATAATTGTTTCAAAGCATTGCAATTAAACAATTATTTTACAAAGGTTAAATAACTTTTGAGCCGCTATTTTGTATTCAATAAGTGAATTAAAAGTACAGCTTCGAAGCACAATTTTTCCATCTTGATGGATTGGTTATAAATTCTTTTAACATTCTTAATAATTTTGAACAAACAAAAAGTATTGTGACATCGTTACAATGCCGGGTTTCAATTTTTAATCACATATTTTTAATTTATTTCATTTAAAATATATGCTCTCTACCTCAAATTAGTAGTGGCTTGCCCCTGTACGTCATATTTTTCCTTTAACAATACAATCATGCAGATTATCTATCTAACACCTTTCGGGGGGGGAATTTTTTAATTAAAATTACGTGACTTCCTGTCTACATCGAAAGTTTTTATATAATTAATGGAGGCTTCCTACCCCTAAGGTTTCCATATCTGATTCGAATTTTATCTATCTAATACCGTTGTCGAGATCAAGGAAGGACAGACTGACAAACGACTGTGGGAATTTAAAAGCCTATAATTTTTTCAAATTGAAGCCCAAAACNGGGAAAATTTTTAAATTGAAATCACATGTCTTCCACTCTAAACCGAAAGTTCGTGTATATTTAATTTGGACCTTCTGTCCCTGCTCTTTCCGTACATGGTCTTGACCTTTATCTGTCTAACACCGTCATCTAGATTAAGGAATAACAGACAGACGGACGACGGTGGGAATTTATAGGTCTATAATTTTTTTTAAATTGCAGCCGAATAATTTATAAATTTTTTAATACTCGATTTATTATATTTTTTTCGTTTTTACGTTCTATATATTAATATATATGCAGCCGTAAAGGATAGGTAAAGTAATGTATATATGTTATGTCACTAGTTATATACTTATGTTTATAATCTTTAGAGCTAGACTATATAAATAATAACGTATAAAGTGAAGGATAAATAATAAATGTAAGAAAATAGAAAATTGAACTTCTTCTTAAAATCCATTACACTAGATATATATGTATAAATTTGTAATTATTTTTATATAATTCTTAATTTTTCTTTTACAAAAGTTGCAAAAATTTCAATCCATTAAGTAAAATATTGAAGATTAATGTTTATAATATCCACGTCTTCATTAGTTTATTTATTTATTTAAAAAAATAATAATCTAAAAGATCTTCTTCGTACTCTATCGTTTAAAAATAAATAAATAATATAGAGGCATAAATAAAATAATAATACAGAATTGATGATGTAATTTCTGAAAATTTGAATTAGTTATTTTAAAAACACGCTGAACCGGAAGTCACGTGTTTTTTTATAAATTGCAACCCGGCATTGTGACATACATTTGAGTTTTAACGTTATATTTATTTGAGTTTTGTGCCTGTACAATTTAGGGGGGTCTTTCTTAATCACATGACTAAAATTAGACTAAAATTAAGATAAGAAAAAGGGACGTTTTACTCCCTTAAATATAAAAAAACACTAAGGAATTTTTTTATAAGGGTGCAGAGCTTGTTTTAAAAAATCAAAAGGTGCAAGCAGCGAAAAGATTAAACATTACAATCCAAACAAAGAGTAAAAAAATCGATAGATCTTAAATCACTTTTAATGTTAAATACTCGCATCCTGCCAATGTCTTCTCTTGTGACGATTTTCTTTTATACACAGATTATTTATACGTTCTTTTGCCGTTTTCTATTATTATTATTATAATAGAAATTTAAATTATATTGGACGAAGTTGAAGCGATTAATAATACAGAAAAATCAATATTAAAACGAGTAACCGCTTCATTTTATGCTTTATTTCGTTCTATATATTACGATTATAATAGAATATTGTTGTAATCTATACAGTAAGATGTTTACAGCGTAATGACAATGGTTTCTAATTACTTTGTGAAAGAGACTATATTTGTGAAATCGTATACATACAACACACAATAAAAGTTTATTAAAATCTCTTCTTTATATGCACACGATTGAAATTTAATTAGAAATTATTTACTGTACAGGGTAGACCAAAAGACAATTAACCGAGATATTCCATACCTGTTTGAATTATTTTTACAATAGTATTTAATATATATATATATATATATAACATTACCTAAATCTAATTAATTTTTATTTTTAGAATTAAATGGATTGTATATGATTATAAATATTCTTAAAGAATTAAAGATATTTAGCAAGAGACAAAAGGAATACATATCATTCCTTAATAAAACCTACTGGATTTCTATTCCCTACATTGGAAAGACCACTGGATTTGCTTCTGAATAAGACAGTTTTTTTATTTATTCTTAGAATGTTTCATTCACAGACTACAGTCAAAAACAATAATTTTAATCTCATTATATTATTAAATCTATCTCATTAATCTCATTATTTAATCTATTAATAATGTATAATTTATGAATAAAGAAATGATGAATCATTGGTGATAGATGTGATCCTCTGGTAGCATTTTAATTAACATTGGTTTATAGACTTGACAGGATGTACAAAAAAATCTAAGGTAAATGTATAAAAAAATGAAAAATATTTGAAGCTAATAAAAACACATTGGAAATCTTTTTTCGAAATTTACTAAGAACATTTACTGAACAGTTATATCATCTTTGAGGTGCTCAAGTATTCCATCCGTTTTAAAATTTGTAAATTCCAATTTACACTCTAAAACATGTAAACATGATGATGACCATTAAATATGACTGAAGGCTTTTTTAATCATTAAAGTTTTGTTATTTGCTGGAATTTTTGGTTTTTTAGAAGTGTTTATTTCAGTGGTATGTGGTGACATTTGATGATAGGGAAGCTGTGCCAGCACTGGATAGAATCATTGGAAGCATTATATGATATTTTGGTGTGTAGAATTCACGAGCTAAACCGCAAGAGCTTGGTGCTCTGTATAGCACATGCATGAATGCCTGTAATCTGGCTGCTTTACATAATTCAAATATTTTGGCCATGGAAGCTATCCCATATTCAACAATACAGCACTTCCATAGGAAATATGCATATACAAATTTATATTTGAATATGCAATAGCAATGTTATCTTCTTTTTTTACATGTAGTATAGAAATTTATTGAGTTGCTCGGAAAGTAATTTTGTTTTTTTTACCACTAGACGGGTTAGTCATATTTTTTCTGCCATTTTCATTCTAAACCATATTATCATTATGTATTTTGACAGCTAGCATTTTAAAGCTTATTTGAAAAAAATTTTGTTTGATTCTGTGCAATTGTTTATTTTTTGTGTCCCATCAAATATGGAAGATCGAAAGCAGCATTTTTGGTATATTTTGCTCTTTTATTACCGAAAAGGTAAGAATGCTGTTCAAGCGAGAAAAAAATTGTGTGACGTGTATGGAGAAGATGTATTGACAGAACGACAGTGCCAAAACTGGTTTACAAAATTTTGTTTTGGCAATTTCAATATTGAAGATGCACCATGTTCTGGATGGCCAGTTGAAGCCAATGAAAACAAAATAAAGG